CCCTACACGTGAAGTTTTCACGTGATTCATGATTCTCGAGGCTGCGAGCCCTTGACTTGCTAAAGCAAGAGCAACTCCAGCTAGCTGATGCTAGCTTTCGTGAAAAAGAACAAATCATCCCGGCAAGAAACCCAAAACAGTGTGTCTAAAAGTCAAAGGTCTAGAAGGTGCAGGAGAGGACGGTCTAGAGATCTAGATGCATTGGGTTCCAAAGAGAGGGGTGATGGTGGTGATGATGGTGATCGTGGTGATGGTGTGGTGGTGATGGCGGCAATGACGGTTGGTGGCGATGATGGTGCAAGCTTAGAATTGAAGGTGTGGGTCCAGAGTTCTAGAGGTCTAGAGGTGTAGAGAGAGATAGATGTCTGAGCACAGATACGAGAGCACATTTTTCCCACGAAGTCTGCACTTCAAGGTCCACAAAGCACTGTGCCTGCTACGAAATATGCACCCCAAGGTCCACAAAGTGCTGCGCCTGCCACATCAAAATTCACATCGCGCAGCCCTGCCAAGACGACTCGCAGAAAGAGCACTTCAAAAGACAACATCAAGAAACCAAAGCGCAGCTTTCGCTTGAGACTTCTTCCGACTTCTGAAAACAAGCCAGGTGTCCAACACTCACGACTCACTCCACGAAGTCAGAGCACGCCGAATCCCGCAGCCATGTCCAAAGCACCAAGCCTGCCATGAAATCTGCGCATCGCAAAAAATCGCTCCGACTTCCTGCACCTGTCACGAAAAGTTGACTCTGAACCACCAAAAACAAAAAGTGTGACCACCAAGTCCGAAAATGCACACGGCACCACAAAGAGAGCACAGTCGAGGAAAGCACCCGCTCCAGGCCAACCGGAAATGCACTTTGAAGATCTCAAGAGGCATGAATGTACCCTAAATAGCAACGAATTAGCTGCAAATGGATGCAAGCACCTCGATCAGACACCCGTCCTTAACACATACCATTAGAACTCCTAGTGTTGCCAGACTGTTTAGGTGAAAAAAAAGAAAGGAAGAACGGAAAAGGACAGATCTGAAAAAGACACCAAAAGAAAAAGAGCAAAGAACGAAATGTTTTCCGAGCGCTCCTCTGGGGTTTCCAGCTGTTGGGCCAATCGTCCCGAAAGAAGTCGGAGTGTTGCAAATCTCCGCCCGCAGAAATCATTGCGAATCCTGAAACACTTCACGCCAAACGCTTGAATCAATCTCAGATAAGTGAAGCTTTGGAGATGGATGACCACTCTCTTTTGTGTACCTGAAGAAACGGAGCACGGGTGGGCAAGTAGAAGCTAGCACTAGCGATGCAAAAGAACTCTACACGTCATCGAAATGGTTCCCAGATGTTCGTCGGTCAAAGTATCGCTCTTTGCGCGCCTGCCATGTGTGCATACAGCATGGACCAAGACTTCGTCCGCCTCTGAGCAGCCTCTTTCTCCAGGTCCTGCAATCTGAATGGCGCAAAGCGGCATGGAAAGACCCGGATGAGAAACAGAAATGCTTGGTAGAAGGTGGCCCTTACTTGGTGCTCTTTGGATGTCTAGAGGTGTTTGCAAAAAATACATATCTGTTTCAGAGCAACATGCACAACAACTCACACACGACCAATATGAACATCTTGTGCAAACCATGCACACAACCGGGATCGACGTTCATTGGAAACATCAGCGGATGCCGCGCTTTTGGACTTCAAACATGTCTGTAGATCTACGGAGTCGGACGGCAGGCGGTGGCGATTGCTGGTGAAGTCTGTGATGATGACATGATGGAAAGCAAATTGCTATTAGGTTGGAGGCCATCGCTATTAGAAACAAAGAAAAAGAAAAGGAAGAAAAGTCTAATAAGTTTGCTATTAGGAGCAAGGACGCTACTAGGGGCTCCTGGCCTTAATACTAGGAGCAAAAAGCTACTAGGGGCTCCTGGCATCGCTACTAGTAACAAGGACAGTACTAGTTTGCTATTAGGTTGGAGGCCATTGCTGGGCAAAAGTGCTAAACCAAGCTCCCCTGACCACAAAGCTCACCACGTGTAGCACCGCAAGGGTAGAGAGGTAGAGCTACGTGAACAAAGCATGTCGCACACCCACAGTCTTTGAGCGTGCACTATTTACGCGTTCCAATCATGCACACCATGTGTATATCTAGCAACCTTCTTGGTTTCCGTCCCTCAAAGCGTCGCACCAAACTTCAATTGATGTTCTTTATTCGTCCCTACAGTGCGGCTTCAATATGTGTTTTCCTGATGTTCTTTGAAGCACGGTCCTGGCCCCGTTGCGTTCGGGCCTCAAACTTTCACTCAGCGTGCGTCTCCCTTCTTGCGATGTGGACTACCATTTTGGCCTAGTTAAAGTGCACTGAGGTTTGGCAAGTCTTGTTGCACAAGCCGGGGTCAGCCGCAAATAGCTACTATATAGTTAGGTATAGTAACTACGTCCACCGGCCGTAGGTCGAAATGACATTTCTGATCACCAGCATGTCTCAGATGCCGGAATTACATTGGAGAAAGTGTGTTCAGTCAATGTACTCACCAGTAGAATGGCGACATCAACAGTGAAAAGAAGTTGCCCCCAACTATCGTTTTTTGGACATGTTTGGAGGGATATGTCTTCGATCATCTCCTGGATGCCACTGCTTCTCCAAGCATGGCGAAGGATGTCATGCAGGGGGGAATGTTTAACAAATATGTGAACAACCTATTGGAGAAAACAATCAACGCGGATGTAAGAGTAACTGGTACACGCCTGCGCAGTAACATTTCTTGGTAGAAGGAGGGCCAAACTGTAAGCAACAGCAAATAGTTCTCATGCAACGTATCAAAGTTGAGAGGCCATCTATCTGATTTCAAAACAATTTCCAGAGTGGCAGCCACAAAAGGATCAGGGGTGGAAGCATCACAAAAGGTCTTCAACAGGCTATCAATGTACAACGGGCCCACCTCAAAGCACCCTTTCAACAAGTGTGGAACTTCATCCACCCCTGTCCAGTGTCCCAACCGCAACAACAAAATGAAAGCAAGAGACAAAGCAGAAAGGGAAAAACGCACCATACTGAGACCTGGAAACTGCGGTATACAACGCACGCGCTTGACGGAAAAAAACCACTGTGCCAAGAATAACGCATTTAAAAAGTGACATTGATGGAACATTAAATACTTTTCCGGGGAAGAGATGACTCACAACCTATACTGCATCGACAACGGACGTTATTATCCCAGCCCCACCCCCCCAACCCCGACTCTCCAGAACCCATGCTTATCACAAGAAAACCGTATAAAAAACATCAAAAACAACACGAAACACCACGGCCCTCTATGGGCGGTGCTCCAACTACCAAGTAGAAATACTAAGCGATCCAGTAGCTTCTTAGGTTTGGACGCAGAGGGGCTCAGGCAATGCCCTTGTTGCTAGTAGCTTCTTGTTACTACTAGTAAGGCACTTGATTCCTAGTTGTTTTGGAAACTTCATTCCTCATTAAAGAGGCCCTGTACATCCCTGTTACCTTATTGTGTTTTATTCTGTCGCATGTCTTTACTCTTTAAATCTCTAGTAGAAGTTGCTATTAGGTTGGAGGCCATTGGTAGTAGGTGGGAGGGCATCGCCATTAGGATCCTTTTGCATGTCTTTAGTCTTTACTCTTTAAATCTCTTCTCTTTGCGCTTTTGATCGTCTCCTCCATGGTCACAAAGACTTCCAACTGACCAATCTTGGCGATGCTCTTCTCTCGGGTACCGGGAAGCACTGTGGCTGTTGCTCGGCTGTCCTTGGCCGCGACAAGGTGCTGCCGCTTGCGCCCAACATCGAGATTGAAATAGAGTGACTAAAGGAGTAGATCGAGTAGACGAGGGTTTATCCGAGTCCATGTCCATCTTTGAACGTACGTCTGTATTGACATGAACAATTAGATCAACGGTTTTCATATAGTTTCTCAATATGCAGCTTGACCTCGGGAAACCAGCTCTTTGTTTGGAATTGAAAGCCCAGCATGCTCCAGGGCTTCAACTATACATGCCCAGCATCCAGGTCCTGCAGGGGAACGCCATGGTCTCCACGGATGGAGTCGTGGACCACCCAAGCCATTCCTCAAGGGCCAAGCCATCGAGGCTCGAAGCGCGGGGCGAATCGGGATCTGCGGAAAGCTTTTGTTTGTCATTGCGACACGTCCACAACGTCCATATGGGACAACGGGCATCGCTACTAGGAGCAAGGACGCTACTAGTAGCTATTTGCTACTAGTAGTAATGCCCTTGTTACTAGTAGCTTCTTGTTCCTAGTAGTAAGGCCAGGAGTCCCTAGTAGCGTCCATATCCTCAAGATTCCAGTTTTGGGCCGTATCCAGAAGGGAGGTCGTATCCTCCAATTGCCATGTGAGAGATGGATCATGGACACAAGAGGACGTGGAATGCTCAAGAAGCTCTGAGACCGACTTCATGTACTCAAAACAAACACCGGAGGCCGCTGACCTATTTGGAGTGAAGCTTGTCCCAAAGCACAACCTGCGCTGGGCTCTCCAAGACCAGCTTCGGACTAGCTTCGCACCTGCTCAAAACACGTCTCAAATGAGATCTTCACAGGTTGCCAAGTTGCGGCCGTCAGGTCTGGAACTGACGCAGAATGCTTTGGCGAAATAGGCCTCAGATGTCGGTGCCAAAAGAGAGCGAAGTAGGCCTTCTTGGGTGATTCCACAAGCCATCACCAGGCAGCGATTGGCTACGCACCCTGGGTGCAGCAACTTTTACAGTATCAATTCCAAGTTACGATCATCACCTCGGCCACCGCCAGCCTGAGTGCCAAACGGCTCAAGTAGAACAGTCCAGGCATTATTTCTAGCTCACGCCACAAGATATAGAGGTCGAGCAATAACCTTCGCGTCGAAAGAATCGGCATGGCAAACCGCCAAGACGTTCACCAAACTGAGCAGCGACGTGGATCCACAATGTTTCACGACATCGAAGTCTGGTTTGTTTCCACCAGTGCTTCTTGACGAGATAACAAGTCCAAGCAAGGAAATCCTCCTTTCTGCCAGACGCAAGATATTCAATGGTCGAACTTGTTCCGAATCATGGGCTCGGCTATAAGTTGTGATCTCCCGTCACAGGGCTATTGAACTCATGAAGCCACCCGTACCTACGGTATACCAACCTCTGGGATCCAAGCCCGCCATAACCCCAGCGGTCGATGGAACACTGTCGCTGACCAGTGACCAAGCGATGAAAATGACGTATCCAGCAGCCACACCTCAACTCGGACTATGTTGTCGAAGTGATCAGGATAAAGAAGGATTATCAGTTTCTTGACTCCACCAGAGCAGCTGAAACTCGAGCAGGGCGGGTTCAAGTCATCATACAACAATGTCGATTTATCGAACAAGCCGCGTGCGGTGTTGACTACCGTCTGCTATGAAACACTTTCTGCGCTGCCCTAACGATTAGACGGCCTCTAATCAAGATGTCTCCTACATAAGCCCTTCTGGTCACGGCAAGAATCACCTGTGGTGTATGTTCAGGATAACTTTATAGCCAAACATACCCTTGTCTTATGTTCAGTGAAAGATCAAGCCGTCAGGCACGTGGTTGCAACGTCGACTAAACTGCTTTCGACGTCGGTGCAACAGCTAAACCCAACATCCTCAAAGGCCTGACTCGCTCAGAGTCAAGCACGCTCCACTCCCCGTGAGGTCTGGCCAAGACACGCGCAACTTGTCTCCAGCCTTTGGGGAATTCCTTAACACAAAAGCCGCAAGTCGCTTTCTTGCAGATTCCTTTTCATTGAATGGCAAAGACAAAACACCAAACCAAAACATACACATCGAGCAAGAATAATATGGTGATCCATGACTATGGTCCAATGGTGGGGAACAACTGACTTTGCTTTGCGGAGGTCGAATTTTTCGACGGTATAGTTTTGGTCTTGACGTGGTGATGGACATCTGGCTTGGGAAGCGTTTTGGGAAAGAACAAGAAGCTACTAGTAACAAGTGCATCGCTACTAGTAACAAGTGCCTTACTAGTAGTAACAAGAAGCTAATTAATTTTAATTCTAATTGTTACTAGTAGTAAGGCACCTGTTCCTAGTAGCTTCTTTGTTGCTCGCCTTCAGAGTCAGAACTTGCAAGCCTGGAGAGCATCAAAAGCTCCCGCTTCGAGGGGGCCATTCAAAGCTCTCTTATGGAATTCCAAGCTCACCCCAGCTTCAACGGCACGGCGGCAGAGAATTTCCTGTGCCCAAAGTTGACGCAGCGATCCTAACATGAGCGTGCATCAGTCTCAGCAAGACAGCCTCTGCTTGGAAGCTTGCTCTGTGCAAGTAGAGGCGGGGACGCCATCTGCATAGCCATCTGCGAGCTACGCCAAAGTATGTAGGATTGGGGCAATCTACCTGCTTGCCTTGTGACAGCATTTGCCCATCTGCGGCTGGAAGAAGGTAACTAAGCCGCACCAATATGTAGCTTTGCGGCCGGCGCGACAAGTGCGGGAGAGGTGCCGGGTGAGCCTTTCATCTCAAATCTTTACCTGCTTCCTTGCTTTGCCGCGGGTAGGGGGTGGCCGGCGGCCGGCGGCTGGGGACTAAAAATGACTATAGAGGACGAGTTGTGGACACCCTTCTGTGTGCCCTGAAGGGTTCCACTTGCAGTCAGTTCTGGTGAATAGCCATTGGAAGCGAATACAGCATATGTGCAGAGCTTTACAAGCTTCAGTTGTTGAGTGACAGCAAGCGGCATGAGTTCAAAGACCAAAGTATTCCCCAGGTTAGTCTCGAACGGCTTCATCTTGTGCGTAGCTTTGTCAAAGGCAATGGGCTTTTCTTGGCTAGAGCAATCGGTGCACAGACGTGTGGCTTCGTGAAAGCCAAAGCAAGTTCGCAGAAACAGGTTTGCCCTAAGTGTGGAACAGTGACACCCTACTGGGACCATGTATGGTCCTGCCTTCTCGGTATGGATCCCCCTGTTGATCTTTTCATGAGACGCTTTGGTTGGCCTCGGAGCAACGGTGACCTGGTAGTACTACAAAATTTTCATGAAGCGCTTGATGCCTTAGCTCAGAGCTGAGGTAGTTTGTGCAGTTTGGTGGAACGCTTCACTTGCTCAGTTCGAGGGCTGCATGTTTTGTTTCCTAAAGCTGGATCTTCAATTTCCAGGTTCAACTTGGCGGAGCACTTCATTTGGTTTGCTTGAGAACTGCAGGTTTTGTTTTACTTTATCGGTCCTTAGGTTTCTTTGTGGAGCCCTTCGTTCGTTCTCGGTTCGAAGCTTTGTTCCTTGATGGAGCTACAGTGTCTGGTTCTACGGGGCTGGCCACTCCAAAAAGACGACACTAAAAAAAGACTGTGGCGCTAGTGGAACTAGGGACCATTCTCAGATCAACCAATCTGGGCTTCTCTCGCGTTGACCCAAGATTTGTGCAGTCTCCACCTCATGACAAGACACCCCAAGCACTGGACTGATGACAAACACCACGATCACTTCATCTGCAGCACTGAAGATGAGAATCGCCTCAGCGCGTGCTCTCTCTCTCTCTCTCCCCCCTCGAGCTTTTCCAGAAAAACACAGTCTTTCAAAGTAAGAACAGAAGAAAGGAAGAAAGCATGGAAAACACGAGGTTGAATAAAACATAGCAACGACTAAGACCTGGACACAGAAAATGGAGATGGTCGTGCTGATGTTGCTCCAGGAATAACGCCTCAGAATTTAAAACTGTCAGAGAATTTCCCAACAAAGACATCTTGATAGGCCCAACCCTCTGCCAAGTAGATAGTCCGATGCTTACAGTATCAGAAATCCTCTAGTTCAGTGCAATTGCAATACCTATGGGCCATGCTCTAAGCACAGACACAAAGCACTTAGAAGACAGGAGCCATAGACAGGAGGAGACCCTTTGAGACTCTTCTGCTGTCTGCAAGGGACTTGATGTCGTCGTCCGGGTAGTTGACAAAATAGAATATTACCTTCACAGCCGACACAGAATGACACAGACTGGGAGATGTTGACTTCTTGCTAAGGTTCTTCATGAAAAACACATCCGCAGAAGCACAAAAAGAGCACTTGCCAATTCTATCTTTTCTGCAGGTGCCATCTTTTTGGCAATCCTTGAGACAGAAACTCCGTGCTCTTTTCTCTCTAAGTGGCCATGATGAAAAAGAACATCCCCATCATCATAAAGCCGCAGGTGACATCCTCTCGTGTAAACTCCTGCCACAACTGGCCGCTCGAAAGCCAAAGACATAGCTGAAAGTTAACAAATTCCAAAAGTATTATTGAGTGTCTGACTAGACTCTAGGGTCATGGGAATTGCTTTCATGGCTTTGGTCGCCCATTTGCATCCAGTCCTCTTCCTCGTCTTCTCCAATAATCTCTTCTATCTCTTCTGGCAATCGCAAATGGGGACGTCCGCGAACTACACATGGACGCAGGCTAGCTCATGCACTAATGATCTGGTTCCTAGATGTTTTGGACAACTTAACATACCATATGGGATCACACTGCCTTCCAGTACGACAAGACTGCTCACTTTTTGAACAGCTCAAGCTACAAGAATTGACAGAACTTAAACTCTTCTCGAAGCTGAGAAGTCAGTCTCTCTAGTCATCTCTAGTCGACTGTTGCTATATCTGCCATACAGGTAGCTGCGGTCACTTCGTCACTCCCCACCTAGGCCACCCTCCTCTTGAAAACCACCTCTCAGTAGGGGCACAAAGCTCTGTTGAAGCAAAGCTGTCCTTTCAGAATTTCTCTTTTAGTAGAGAACACCGAGAAGAGCAAAGCAAACAAATACAGCCAACACTGATACGCATATTGTTCCAACAAATCTGGTATCCACGTGCAAGTGGAAGCACATCTAGGCCACATGACCCTCACCTGAGTTCGTGCCTTCATGCTCCAACTCCTGACAGGCGTTTCTTCGGTTCACAAAAGGGATGGCAGCACTTTGAACCCTGTGAACCAAACACCTGAACAACTCTTTGCTTCACGTTGCAAAAACAAGAACAACATTCTCAGCATTCTTGCTAAGAGACCGAGAATCGCAGTCTTTCTACCAAGGAGTACAAGGAGTAGTTGGGTGACAACTTGAGAAAAACCAGGGTTGGCGCCCACTTAATTAAGTAAGGTACTAAACATGCTCCTAGCTACCAAAGCTTCTAGTAACTGGTATAGCTCACGCGTCTTTGCGCTAATGATTTGGTTCCTAGATTATTAGGGAAACTTAACATACCATATTGAAAAAGAAAATATATTAGCAGAATTGGTGTTCCTTCATCTTTGTTCATCCCTCTCCCCGTCCGAAGCACTGGCGCTATTGCCGCAAAGGCCAAGCAGAAGCGCCACCACGAGCGCTTTGAACAGTCGCATGGCACACTTTGGCACCGCTGACGTTCGTCGGTTGAGCCAAACGCTGAAGTTCGGTGTCGCCTTTTAATTGGTGGCAGTTCCGAATTGTTTGTTTCTTTTGGGGGGGCCCGCACTCTCCTTCTCATTAAGCAGGCGCCTACAAAATGGAGTAAGGGACTCTACTAAGTTAGCTTCTAGACATGGCTGGCCAGAAGCAGCCTTCCCAAAAAGTGTTTCATCCCCCATACTCGAACAGTCAAAACCTCATCCACCTTCCAAATTCACATGCAATCTCCGGTCCGGAAGCCTTCACCACTGAGTTCGAAAGACCCAAGGTTCGTCAGAAACCATATCTCCAAGTTAGGAAGCTACTAGGAACAAGTGCCTTACTAGTAGTAACAATGTTAGCCATTAGAAACAAGTGCCTTACTACTAGTAACAAAGGAATCTAGATCAAAAAAGACGCTTCCCGGTCACATATCGTCGCCGTAGCAGTTTGAGCACCAAACCCAGCCAGGATGTGCACCACCTCAACCACGAAAGGCGGCCAAAAAGTAACTGGACCTTGCGTCTTTAGTTCTGAATTTCTGTAAAAGATTCTGGTACAAACTTTGTTGCTAGCGAGGTGCTCTCTTAGTACGACTCTGGTGCAGGACCGCGCTCGCAGCGGCTTCGCCATGGCATCGAAAACTCACGTTGATTGGAAGAAAGGAAAGGTCAGGTCCAAAGGAAGAAGGAACAGGAGGAATAGGGAGGTGGAGGCCATCGATAAGAAGAAGAAACATATAAAGACAAACAAAATAACTGATTGCAACTGTGTGTCTAGCAAGGGGTAGTGATACGAGACCTCAGGGCTACTTCAAGCAAGGAGCTATGCTCCAATTCTTTGCTATGTGTTGATGGTCTGACCTTTTTTCCCCAGACCGGTAGACGTGTCTTGTGTTCCTTTTTGGTTCTTCTCCATGTCCTTTTTCCTTTCTACTTGTCTTTGAATGATAGAATTTCTTGAGCTTTGACGTTTCAGAGCTGAGAGAACATCTCATTTGCGAAGTGGGAATGACTGACTTCCGTGCAGCAAACATCTCAATGAGAGCAGTCGTCCCTGTTTGGGCACATGGTGCTTGTCAAAGGGCCAACCCGATCGCCTTGAGATATTTGGCGAAGCCGAAATCGGTGAGCTTGATGTGACCGGTCCTTCCAACTTGGTGGACTCATCAGCAAGGACGCTACTAGGAACAAGTGCCACGCTAGTAGTAACAAGTGCCACGCTAGTAGTAACAGGTGCCTTACTAGTAGTAACAAGAAGCTACTAGGGGCCTCTTGAACATATGCATGCCTCTTGAACAGACTGTCGTGTGGTTCCCACGCACCTGTGAACTAGGAGATTCTCAGGCTTCAAATCCCTGGCCGAGGTCGCACCACTTCGAAATCTGTCCAATAGGCGAGACACTATCCGTCCAAAACAACAAAATCAGAGAACAACCTTTAATATTGAGTCCAGGACCATCTTCAAGGAATCGGCATGTAGGATAATCTAAAAAACACTAACAACTGTGTCCACTCTTCATTATCTTATTTTGCAGGGCTGTCGCGTGAACTTCTTTGCTACCAGCCAACTGGGTCCTACTGTGCCACTGTTCTCACCTCAGCACAGAATGTGTCTATTTTGTGTTGTTTTTGTCCTTCTTTCTCTAGACCTTTATCTTTCTTGATGTTCTTATCTTTGCTACCACTAGCATTAAAGTGCGAAGTGTGTCGGATTGAGCCTGAAAACCACCAACATGCTATGCAAATGGAGAAGAGCCGAGGCCACCTGGAGAGAGCGAGAAAGGCCGAAAGACTCATTCCACACTGCGCTTTCGTGAACACGTTAAGCGTGTGTGGAAAACGAGCAGGAAGGCCTCCAACCCAACAGCAATGGCCCCCAAACTAATGGCGATGGCCTCCAACCAAATAGCAATAGCCTCCAACCTGCTAGCGATGGCATCCAAACTAATAGCAATGGCCTCCACCCTAGTAGAGTGATGGCCAGTGATGGCCTCCAACCTGAAAGCGATGGCCTCCAACCTAATACCAATGGCCTCCAACCTAACGGTGATGGCCTCCAACCTATAATAGCAATGGCCTCCAACCTAGAAGGGATGGCCGCCAACCTAATAGCAATGACCTCAAACCAAATAGCAATGGCCTCCAACCTAGAAGGGATGGCCGCCAACCTACTAGCAATGACCTCAAACCAAATAGCAATGGCCTCCAACCTAGAAGGGATGGCCGCCAACGTAATAGCAATGACCTCAAACCAAATAGCAATGGCCTCCAACCTAGAAGGGATGGCCTCCAACCTAGAACCGTTTGCCTCCAACCTAACAGCAATGGCCTCGGCTTCAGCGTGTGGCGTGTCCTTGATCAAACGTGATGTTACGTGCGTTCGGCCGAAATCACATGCCTAGCGGTGGAAATAGAGACATGCATCACCCAGACCTCCGCCGCGAAGAAGCGGGTCGCCTCTTCCGAGAACCTTGGACGATTGAAGAAAAAGAAAGTATACAGCCTGTCAAAAAACTCTGCACGAAAAAGGAAGAAAGCAATCTATGACGTTTTCTCTAGCGATTTGATGACCTGGAGGCTGGCGGAAATGTTTTAAGATGCATCACGGGCTTGGGATGAATGCAGGTCCTCAAAGGTAACCCAAAAATTTGCATGTGTCTATGAAAAAAATCATATGGAGCCTTGAATCCTGACAATTGCCTACACCCCTCTAGTTTGGACATTCCTCTTTCTTTCCCTTCTGGACTCCCAAACAAGTCAGCACAAACCAACGACCAGAAGTTCATGACAACATCCTGAGGAAAGTGCTTCTTCTTTGCACGCAGTAAGGTGAAAAGCTCGCCACCTGAGGTTTCAATGTGTTTTTAAAAGCCCGTGGCCCTGCCTCCTTATTTAATTCAGTAGGCGCCTACTTGATTATTACTGAATTAAGTAAGGGACAAGTAAGCTACAAGCTACTTGAGCTACTACCCACTGGACGCAGGATAGCTCACGCTTCTTGAAGGAAGCTCTCCGGCCTGAGGGCGGGGGGGAGGAGCTTCCTTGAAAAAGCGCTCGCACTAATGATTTGGTTCCTAGATCTTTAGGGAAACTTAACTTTCGTGAGCTATTGGGTGTCCTTGTTCCTACAGGTGAAACGATTCCCAACGAAGCTTCTAGTTACTAGTAGCTTCAAAGACCGTTCCTAGTAGCTTCTTGTTACTACTAGTAAGGCACTTGTTCCTAGTAGCGATGCGCTTGTTTCTAATAGCTTCTTGTTACTACTAGTAAGGCACTTGTTCCTAGTAGCGATGCGCTTGTTTCTAATAGCTTCTTGTTACTACTAGTAAGGCACTTGTTACTAGTAGCGATGCGCTTGTTTCTAATAGCTTCTTGTTACTACTAGTAAGGCACTTGTTACTAGTAGCGATGGCCTCCAACCTAGTAGCGTCCTTGTTCCTTCTTTCGTGGGCTAGTGGGTGCATGGCATCAGTTGACCCATCCCTGGAAAGCAATGCCTGCGCTAACACCGGGGCTTGTTGGCTGAGGGCTTGATGCGCGCCTACAACCAACTCCATCGCGATATACAAGAAGTTCGGGTCCTCGTCCAGACGTGATTCACTGCCCTCGCAAAGCTACCAAGCAACTGCACCATGCAACTCGAAGTTTGGAGACACTCAATTGAAGTTTGATTGATCATGTCGATTGAACCTCAATTATTCCTTTGTCGCTAGTAGGTTGGAGGCCCGGTATTGGGCTATTAGGCTATTAGGTTCCTTGCAAGTCAATTATTCCTAGTAGCTTATTGTTTCTATTGGCTTCTTGCTACTACTAGTAAGGCCCTTGTTCCTAGTAGCGTGGCCCTTGTTTCAAGTCAAATATTCCAACCAAAGAAGGGCACAGACGACTGAGACGGAGTCAATCTCCGACTTTCCAGACGACGTCTCTGACTCTCCTGGAAGGTGTCCATGACGCGGATCACGAAGGGAGAATTGATGCCTTGCAAACACAAAAGAACAAACAGGACAAAGTCGGACAAAGAAAGACAAAAGGAACAAAGGGCATCGCTACCAGTAACAAGTGCATTGCTACTAGAACCAAGACCCTTACTAGTAGTAACAAGAAGCTATTAGGAACAATAGTACCAAAGAATGAAAAAAGCTTTAACAAAACGACTTGTAGAAACAAGTGCCACGCTAGTAGTAACAAGTGCCTTACTAGTAGTAACAAGGAGCTACTAGGAACAAGTGCATCGCTACTAGGAACAAGTGCCTTACTAGTACTAACGACTTGTTTTACTTCATCACAAGGAATTGAAAACCGCGCAAAGACCCCCCCCGAAGCGGCAGAGCGCGGAGCAAGCACGGAGCTCACCATGATGCTTAACTGTTTCTTTACGAAACAACAAAAATAGACCTTTCTTCTCCATCCTTCGTTCGTTCGTTCGATCTTTCTTTCTTTCTTTTAGGGGGTATGCGGGATAGGTTGAGACGTTGCTAAGAAGTGAAGAAACTGACGGGGGAGCGGAGGGGTTACTACTAGCCGTAGCTATTAAGTAGGCCGTTACTCTACGCCACCCTAGAGAGATGCAGAAAGGAGCTTAGAAAAATAGAACCTCGCATGATTGGCTCGATTTAGGGAAACTTCACATCTTTCTTTCGTCGTTTGGGGAATGGACTCGAGAAAATAAACGAAAAAGCCATCATCTTCGTCGGTTGGAGGCCATCGCTTAGGTTGAAGGCCATCGCTTCTAGGTTGGAGGCCATCGCTATTAGGTTCCTTTTGCTAGTAGGTTGGAGGCCAAAACAATCATCTTGCTTGTTTCCCTTATCATCTTTGTCGGAGAAACTTCGATTCAGCAAGGTATGCCGCCACGGCTGTTGAGTTGCCCTTTGTGAAACGCGTTTCACGACGTTCAGCTTGGAAGCGGCCCCGTTCGGCCGGATCCTCCCTCCAGGTCGTGGAAGAGCAGCAAACTACACCAAAGAACAAGTATTGACAAAGGGAGGTCAATAAGAGAAATACGACAGGAACAAAGGGCATCGCTACTAGGAGCAAGG